TTTATTTTTAAATTATAATTTTTGGTTATAAACCAATTTCGGTTATTTTATTTTTTTTTTTTCACTAAAAAGATAACTGAATACATTTTGGCCAAGATTTATGAAGAAAGATTATTTATTTGCCAAATTTTATAAGAAGAACACTATTTTTCAAACTTTTTGGACTTTTTCATTTATATAGCAAAAAAAAAAAAATTACAATTAAAATCCCAGCGGTGAATCAATATCACCAAAATAAAGTTTTATCTGTCTCAAAAAAATGCTAAAAAGTTCATATGGGTACAGTGTTGCATGACCGCGCAATTGTCAAAGTGCGATAGCGCTGAAAGCTGAAAATTGGCCTGGACTGGAAGGGGAAAGTGTCCGGACTGGAAGGGGGGGGAAAGTGTCCGGACTGGAAGGGGGGGGAAAGTGTCCGGACTGGAAGGGGGGGGAAAGTGTCCGGACTGGAAGGGGGGGGAAAGTGTCCGGACTGGAAGGGGGGGGAAAGTGTCCGGACTGGAAGGGGGGGGAAAGTGTCCGGACTGGAAGGGGGGGGAAAGTGTCCGGACTGGAAGGGGGGGGAAAGTGTCCGGACTGGAAGGGGGGGGAAAGTGTCCGGACTGGAAAGGGGGGGGAAAGTGTCCGGACTGGAAGGGGGGGGAAAGTGTCCGGACTGGAAGGGGGGGGAAAGTGTCCGGACTGGAAGGGTCGGGAAGTGTCCGGACTGGAAGGGTCGGGAAGTGTCCGGACTGGAAGGGTCGGGAAGTGTCCGGACTGGAAGGGTCGGGAAGTGTCCGGACTGGAAGGGTCGGGAAGTGTCCGGACTGGAAGGGTCGGGAAGTGTCCGGACTGGAAGGGTCGGGAAGTGTCCGGACTGGAAGGGTCGGGAAGTGTCCGGACTGGAAGGGTCGGGAAGTGTCCGGACTGGAAGGGTCGGGAAGTGTCCGGACTGGAAGGGTCGTGAAGGTGTCCGGACTGGAAGGGGTTAAAAAAAAAAAAACAACACGTGTGCCCATGCGGGGTTCCGCCCGCGTCATTCTGTGAATGAGAAACCACAAGTAGTGTCATCTAGTTCTCAATGAACTACCATGGCACTGTTGAGCGCTTTGGTAGTTCAGTGCTTCTTCCTGTCAGTGTATACTTGCTTGCCCATATGAGGTACAAGCAGACACAATGACAAGTCTGCAGGAATCCTGCATAGCACCCAAGATCTGCTGGTCGCGGGTGCAATGCTTTACAGGCTTAAAGTAAAATAAAATTTATATATATATATATATTTTTTTTTTTACCTGCAAAAAAATCTGCATTTATTATTTCTTTGAAAAAAGGTGAACCTATCTTTTAGCAGCACAATTGACTGGAGACACCTGACCTTCATCATCTGGAGGGATGTCTATGAACGTTTGGGCCATATAGTGTAGGCCACAGTCATTCCTAAATTTGGGAAGAGGGTTAGGGCTCATGATGGGATCCATAGTGAATACAACCAGAAAAGACCGGTCATCTTTACACATACTGCTCTCTCTATTCCTCTCAAAATGTCTGAAATAGTTCATTTTTACTATTTTTCAGTGCATTTGGGAAGGTCTCCTGAGGTTATCTTTTAAAAACGCTTCTAAACAGACGTTTTTTTTTTTTTGACCTACGTTTTCCAGCAGTGTCCCGTGTATATGAGCCTTTAGAGATGAGTATATAGGATCCCTTCAGAAATCCGGAAGTGACGAAATGCGTCAGGGACGTGACGTCTGACGTATCATGCTCAACCGGAAGTGTCGGCGCGGCCATTTTGGAAAATTGGAAAAATGGTGGTTTCGAACTAAGGAAGCTGCTGAGGCTGGTTTATGAGTATTATGCTGAATAATATTTATCCCCAATGTAAGATGCTATATTAAATGTCTTTATACTTTTGAAATATATACTACATGGGTCTCCTTTCTCCCTTTATGAGGAATATGGAGGATTGAAGGTTACTACATATATACAGTTGCAAGAAAAAGTATGTGAACCCCTTGGGATTACATGGAGTTTTGCATGAATTGGGCATAACATGTGCTCTGAACGTCATCTAAGTCACCACAATAGAAGAATACAGTCTGCTGAACATAATACTACACAAACATTAGATGTTGCCATGGTTTAATTGCACATAACATGTAAACATTCACAGTGCAGGGAGGAAAAAGTATGTGAGGCCCTAGCTTAATGACTTCTCCCAGAGCTAATTGGAGCCAGGAGTGAGCCAACCTTGACTCCAATCAGTGTGATGATATTGGATGTGTTGCCGACAGCTGTCCTGCCCTTAAAAACACACACCTGTTTTGGGTTTACTGGTTTCAAGAAGCACTGTGTGATGTGAACCATGCCTCGCAGAAAAGAGCTCTCAGAAGACCTACGATCAAGAATTGTTGACTTGCATGAAGCTGGAAAGGGTTACAAAAGTATCTCCAAAAGCCTTGATGTTAATGTGTCCACGGTAAGACAGACTGTCTACAAATGGAGAAAGTTTAGCACTGTTGCTACTCTCCCTAGGCGTGGTCGTCCTGTAAAAATGACTGCAAGAGCACAGCGCAGAATGCTGCATGAGGTAAAGAAGAATCCCAGAGTGTCAGCTAAAGACCTACAGAAATCTCTGGCACATGCTAACATTTTTGTTGACCACATCTACAATAAGGAAAACATTAAACAAGAATGGAGTACAAGGGAGGACACCACGGAGGAAGCCATTGCTGTCCAAAAAGAAGATTGCAGCACGTTTGAAGTACAAAAGAGCACCTGGATGTTCCACAGCACTACTGGCAAAATATACTGTGGACAGATGAAACCAAGATTGAGTTGTTTGGGAAGAACACACAACACTATGTGTGGAGAAAAAAGGCACAGCACACCAACATCAAAACCTCATCCCCACTGTGAAACATGGCGGAGGGAGCATCATGGTTTGGGGCTGCTTTGCTGCCTCAGGGCCTGGACGGATTGTTGTCATTGATGGGAAAATGAATTCCAGAGTTTATCAAGACATTTTGCAGGAAAACGTACGACCATCTGTCCGCCAACTGAAGCTCCGCAGAGGATGGGTGATGCAACAGGACAATGACCCAAAGCATACAAGTAATTCAACAAAGCAATGGCTGCAACAGCACAGAATACGCCTTCTGGAGTGGCCCAGTCAGAGTCCTGACCTCAACCCATTTGAAATGCTGTGGCATGACCTTAAGAGAGCGATTCACACCAGACATGCCAAGAATATTGCTACACTGAAACAGTTTTGTGAAGAGGAGTGGTCCAAAATGACTCCAGATCGTTGTGCAGGTCTGATCTGCAACTGCAGGAAACGTTTGGTTGAGGTTATTGCTGCCAAAGGAGGGTCAACCAGTTATTAAGTCCAAAGGTTCACATACTTTTTCCTCCCTGCACTGTGAATGTTTACATGTTATGTGCAATTAAACCATGGCAACATCTAATGTTTGTGTAGTATTTATGTTCAGCAGACTGTGTTCTTCTATTGTTGTGACTTAGATGACGTTCAGAGCACATTTTATGCCCAATTCATGCAAAACTCCACGTAATCCCAAGGGGTTCACATACTTTTTCTTGCAACTGTACAATGAATGAAAGCCTGGAAATGACTGCTGTATACATCAGAACATCCTGTTAAGCTTGATATTACTCCATGAGGGTAATTGCATTTATTCTTACCATTTAGAGGTGGTCACGGAGTGCTCACTTTATTGATTGATTTGTCTCACTTTATTTTAATATACATACATACATATATATACATACATATATATATATATATATATATATATATATATATATATATATATTTTTTTTTTTTTTTTTGTGTGTGTTTTTGAGTGTACACTATTTTTTCCACTTTTGTTGGAGTGTACACAGTGATTTTGCATGATTCACGTCACCCACAGTTGAATCTGATATATATAAATATATATATATATATATATATTTTTATATATATTAATTTTTTTTTGTGCACATATATTTATTTTGCACTGATATAGTATATACTTAACGGTTTAAAAAGGTATATACATTCATATGATATTTTGAGGGTAATACACTATTACAGTAATTTTTTCGAGGTATCACGAGCTTCGGAATGGAGAATTGAAAGTTGGATATACTGGATTGAGATATTTTGGGTGGACTATTATTTATTTACATTTGGATATTAATTTTAGACACTATTTTTTGGATATTTATTTTGAATTAATCTCTGGATATTTATTTTTGGAATTTTTTATTTAAGTTATTTACTTCATTTTAATTTCATTTAGTTTCATTTTATTTTACTTTGTATTCCTGTATATGGGTTTTTGAGCATAAGTTAAGGAAAAGGTTTATTATTATATGTACAAGATCACATAATGTTTATGCACTTCATAGATCAGCAATTCCTCCCCTACCAGCTATGACTTCTAAGTTGAATTTCTAGGTTGGTGAAAGTTCCTCAGGGGAGGGACTCTCACCCGTCAGGTAACGCTGCTGTGACTTCTGCTAGTTGACATTCTGGGATGAGGAAAGTTCCTCAGGGGTGGGACTCTCACCCGTCAGGTAATGCTGCTGTGACTTCAGCTAGTTGACATTCTGGAATGAGGAAAGTTCCTCAGGGGTGGGACTCTCACCCGTCAGGTAACGCTGCTGTGACTTCTGCTAGTTGACATTTTGGGATGAGGAAAGTTTCTCAGGGGTGGGACTCTCACCCGTCAGGTAATGCTGCTGTGACTTCTGCTAGTTGACATTTTGGGATGAGGAAAGTTCCTCAGGGGAGGGACTCTCACCCATCAGGTAATGCTGCTGTGACTTCAGCTAGTTGACATTCTGGGATGAGGAAAGTTCCTCAGGGGTGGGACTCTCACCCATCAGGTAATGCTGCTGTGACTTCTGCTAGTTGACATTCTGGTTTGGTGAACGTTCCTCGGAGGCAGGAGCACTAGCTCCCACCACCTATCATACATTGCTACTACTATCATATACGATAAATCCCAGCGATTCTTACTTGTCTCCGGTATGAGAGAGTTGAAGCCCTGGATTTCCCTTTGGTTGCCACCACCGGCGGGAAGAGTCTCCTCCATCCCATTTTCCCGTGTGTCTGCTGCTGTAACCTCTGTAGGAGTCACTAGGTCCTCTTTCTGTAAAGGTGCCAGTTGGCCCTCAGTTTCCTACAGAGGAAAACAAACAATATTTTTTTCATAACTTTTTATAAACTGAAAAAATGTAACAAATCACTCGGAGTTGCCACGTGTGCGATTCTCACTTTTGTGCTGTCCTGAGGTTTCTGCTTTGTCACTTCAGTCTTCTTAGAATTCTCTTCAGATTTGCTGTCGGCACCACCTAAGGAGAACGATACAAGACGTGTAAACATGGCTATGAAGAACCACTATAGCAGTGGTCTCCAAACTGCGGCCCCTTGCTTACCTTTATCTGGCCCTTGGGACACTCTACACCCCCCCCCCCCCCCCCCCAATGACACCAACAGGGCATAATTCCTGCTACTGACGACAACTGGCACTATTCCTTCTACTGACATAAACGATGGGGCGATATGTAACATGTGCATTGCAATCAACGTTTTCTTGCGCAAGTGCCTCCGACCTGTGTGTGTGCTCAAAAAAAAAAATGGGGGGGGGGGGGGGGGGGGGGGGGGGGGGGGGATTTTTATGTGCTTGGGTCTAACTATTTTTTTTTACAATTTAACTTTTTTTTTTTTTTTATAACTTTTTGTTTCCATGACATAAAAGTCACACTTTTATTATTGTAGTATGTGTGTGTATGGGCAGCACAGCGGCTAAATGGTTAGCACTTCCGCCTGGCAGTACTCGGGTCGTTGGTTCGAATCCCAGCCACGGCACGTGGAGTTTGCATGTTCTCCCTGTGCCTGCAAGGGGTTTCCTCCGGGTACTCCGGTTTCCTCCCACACTCCAAAGACATGCTGGGTGGTGAATTGGCTCCTGTCTAAATTGTCCCTAGTATGTGTATGTATGAATGTGAGTTAGGGACCTTAGATTGTACACCCCTTGAGGGTTAGGGACCTTAGATTGTACGCTCCTCGGGGGCGGGGACTGATGTGAATGTACAATATATATGTAAAGCACTGCGTACGTTGACAGCCCTATATAAGTACCTGAAATAAATATGTATGTATGTATGTATGTATGTATGTATGTGTGTGTGTGTGTGTGTATGTATGTATGTATGTATGTATGTATGTGTGTGTATGTATGTATGTATGTATGTATGATGTGCGTGTGTGTATGTATGTATGATGTGCGTGTGTGTATGTATGATGTGTGTGTGTGTGTGTGTGTGTGTATGTATGATGTGTGTGTGTGTGTGTGATATGTATGTATGATGTGTATGTATGTATGTATGATGTGTATGTATGTATGTATGATGTGTATGTATGATGTGTATGTATGTATGTATGATGTGTATGTATGTATGATGTGTATGTATGTGTGTATGTATGTATGTATGTGTATGTATGATGTGTGTGTGTGTGTGATGTATGTATGTATGTATGATGTGTATGTATGATGTGTATGTATGATGTGTATGTATGATGTGTATGTATGTATGTATGTATGATGTGTATGTATGTATGTATGATGTGTATGTATGTATGATGTGTATGTATGTATGTATGTATGTATGATGTGTATGTATGTATGTATGTATGTATGTATGTATGATGTGTGTATGTATATGTATGATTTTGCACACCCCTGCTTTGCAACACCCACCATTTAATTCTCTAGGGCCTTGGCTTAAAAAAATATATATAACGTTTGGGGGTTTAAGTAGTTTTTTTTTTTTTTTTACAAGTAGGAGCGGAATGTCAGAACTGTCCCTGACCAGAAGTGGTGAACATTTACCCGTCTTGTGCTTGGTATTGGGTTTTGATCCACACTTGGAGGAAACCTTTGATACATCGATTTTCTTGTTCGTAATCTGCACCTATAAAAGGAGATAAAATGGAGCTATAAAAAGGAGACAATCCTGATCAGAAGTGGGACCAGTGTGTGTACATTACAGTCATTCCCCACACATCACCTCACCCAGACAGAACAAGTTCAGTGCGCATAGAAACTCCAACCTGAAAAAGGCAGACAAGGAAGAAAAGATCCTATAACTGAGACGTTGGCGGAGACAATCGGCAGCGAATAATCCACCTAGATTAGCAAAAATCCAAGCCAGTGTTAGCGGAGGAGGGCGCTCTCCCGCCAGATGGGAGGGAAGTAGCTGTATAGCAGAAAAACTCCAGATTGGGAAGCTTTAGGATGACCCGTGCATCACTTTCTGAAATACTGAACGTTTTAGTGAAAGGTGGAAAGATCGGCAAAAAAAAAAATAGAAAAAAAAAAAATGAAAAAAAAATAGAAAAAAAAAATTTTTTTTCAAATTTTCAATCAAATTTTTTTTTTCTAATTTGAAAAAAAAAAATTTCAATTTTTTTTTCATTTGAAAAAAATTTAAATTTTTTTTTCTCACATTAGAAAAAAAAATTGTTTAATGACCATCAACAGTGCTGTAAATGGGCAAATCTTTCCTATGAAAAAAAGAGGAAGGAATGTTCATCAACAGGCCTACCGGGGAGGTAGGTTCATGGTCAGGCTAGACTCACCTTCCAGCAATGTGGAGAAGTGCTGGGGAGGGAAAGGGGCCCCCCATCTACAGCTAATAACTACAGCAGAATAGCAATCCAGGGATACCTACACATCTGGTCCACATGGAGGGTCAGAATATAAATATCAGGACAGGGAGGAGAGCCCCCTTTAAATGGGGTTTCTGTTTTCCATTCAACTAGGTATGGGGTGGCTATCTCATAGTACCTGGGAACTCCTCATGATCAGCCCAGCGGGTGTACAGATCCGGGAACTCAGCACAGGGATGGTGGGAACCCCTCATAATGGGCACAGCGGGTGTGTACAGATCCGGGAACTCAGCACAGGGATAGTGGGAACCCCTCATAATAGACACAGCAGGTACACAGAGTCGGAAACTTTACTACAGGGATGATAGGAGCCCCCTTATTTCTGGTACAGTAGGTGTCAAGACCCAGAAACTAAAAAATTTCTCAAATATAGAGCCGCTGAGAAATACGAAAAAAAAAAAAATTATTTTTGGCATCTACCGGCCAGTGTTGAATGACCCGGCTCCCTACACTACACACCTGAAGGGCGATCCCAGTAAGGAGTTCTTCTGCCATAGAGTCACATTATCAGAGCCTGGCATGTGTGATGGGTCTAGTACAGGATAGATCAGTGAAGACAAGAGGAATACAGCAGAGGTTGCCCCATTACTCACATTGGCACTGCCAGTTTTGTTGCTGCTGGACGCAGGCGGGCGGGCAGCACCCGCAGATGGCTTTGCAGCGTTTGTTACCTGCAAATAATAAGTTGTTTAGCTCGTTCTCATAGCGAGGTGACCGACTGCGGGGGGGAAGCAGTATAGACAGCAGGCAATGACAGCATAGATAGACTCAGAGTAGAAAAGATAAAAAGAAAACGAATTCTCAGTGTCCTGTAGAGTCAGTATACGTCTTCATTCAAAAATAAATAAAACCAAGGGGCGGAGCTTAGCTTTGACATTCACCTAGAAGTCAGAAGGGATTGAGGTCCTAGAACTGCGCTGACTCTGTACGACAACTTACTGAGCCCTACTGGCCGGCATACAAAAAAAAAAAAAAACCATTCCATCCATTCTGGAAATACATTTTCATATTTCTAATCAAAGCCGTACATATAGAACACCATCATATGACAATATAGAGAAGGGAAACCTACCCCTAACGGATGTCGTCCTGGAGAAAATCCTGCTCCAGGTTCCCCTCAGTTTTGACACATAAGGCCTAACTATTACATTACGTGATCTTGGCTGGCTGATCAGATTGGCTGGTCTCCGCCGAAGGGGCAGGAGCCCCGGTTCAGGCCGGCTGGTCTCCGCCGAAGGGGCAGGAGCCCCGGTTCAGGCCGGCTGGTCTCCGCCGAAGGGGCAGGAGCCCCGGTTCAGGCCGGCTGGTCTCCGCCGAAGGGGCAGGAGCCCCGGTTCAGGCCGGCTGGTCTCCGCCGAAGGGGCAGGAGCCCCGGTTCAGGCCGGCTGGTCTCCGCCGAAGGGGCAGGAGCCCCGGTTCAGGCCGGCTGGTCTCCGCCGAAGGGGCAGGAGCCCCGGTTCAGGCCGGCTGGTCTCCGCCGAAGGGGCAGGAGCCCCGGTTCAGGCCGGCTGGTCTCCGCCGAAGGGGCAGGAGCCCCGGTTCAGGCCGGCTGGTCTCCGCCGAAGGGGCAGGAGCCCCGGTTCAGGCCGGCTGGTCTCCGCCGAAGGGGAAGGAGCCCCGGTTCAGGCCGGCTGGTCTCCACCGAAGGGGAAGGAGCCCCGGTTCAGGCCGGCTGGTCTCCACCGAAGGGGAAGGAGCCCCGGTTCAGGCCGGCTGGTCCCTGCCGAAAGGGAAGGAGCCCGGTTCAGACCGGCTGGTCTCTGCCGAAAGGGAAGCAGCCCGGTTCAGACCGGCTGGTCTCTGCCGAAGGGGAAGGAGCCCGGTTCAGACCAGCTGACCCTCCTTTGGCACAGATCATTTAGTAAAATAATCCTTTATACATGTGTGCAGTACTGAAAGGAACCTGCAGCAACATTTTCCCCAGGAAACACATTCTCTGTTAATATCTAACCATCCCGGAGTGGTAATACATTTGAGCATTGTCTACTAGGACAGAACTGGACCAGCCGTGCATTCAGTGTGACCTTCCCTACCCAAGCCAGCTGTATACAGTTAGATTGAGAATATTACATGAAACGGTCAACCCTTCAAATACAAAACCCCATAAATATAATGTACCATTAACGTCTGATACAAAAAAACAAAACCAAATATACATACTGCCTTACCACAGGGTCCATACCGCAACTAGGCTCCTCTGTGGGCGATGGTGGGCTCAGACCCTGCCACACAAACCTTCACCCACCACCCCAGATCGCCTACATCGCATCTTGATGGTCCTAGTCCAATATACAACCAGCCCAGAAGGAAGACATTACGTATCCTCAGGCTGCAACCAATTGAATGATAATGGGATGACTGGTCCTGGTTCCCCGACCAACCATCACCCACAGCAGAGCTGGGTGAGGTAAGGCACTTGGTGAGGGCATATACCAAAAAGAAAAAAAAAAAAAAGCCAATACTGGTAACATGTCCCTTTAAAGAACATCATAGGTCCCCAAGAAAAGATTTTCCAAGATCTTTGTGTTTCTAAGGCACAGAGTCTCCAAGATTTCCTGAAATAGTGGGCCACTAGAAGGTGCATCCAGACCAGTGGCATCCCTAGGCAGGTGCAGGGGTGCGCCGCACCGCGTGACACCGGACCCACTCCATGAAAAGGTAAGTTGTAAAGCAAGCCGACAATCCCCGCAGGATGGATCCGATCTGCGGATTGAGCATAATGGATCGGAGTCCGATCCATTATGCTCAATCCGCAGATCCGATCCATTCTGCGGGGATCGTCGGAGTGGGGTGTCACCAAGTGTTACCGCACTGGGTGACACCAACACTAGGGACGCCCCTGACTCAGACATCTATAGAATATATTCAAAGTATGCAACAGCAAGCATAGGGAGCTACAAACTTCAGCATGTGTGCTCACTGAAACACTTACAAATGGTTTCCCTTGGTAATGTTTCTGGGAAATTTACATATACAATAGGGCAGCACAGTGGCTAAGTGGTTAGCACTTCCACCTGGCAGTACTCGGGTCGTTGGTTCAAATCCCAACCACGGCACCACCTGCCTGGAGTTTGCATGTTCTCCCTGTGCCTGTGTGGGGATCCTCCGGTTTCCTCCCACACTCCAAAGACATGCTGGTAAGTGAATTGGCTCCTGTCTAAATTGGCCCTAGTATGTGTATGTATGAATGTATTGTATGCCCCTTGAGGGTTAGGGACCTTAAATTGGACTCCCCTGGAGGGTCAGGGACCTTAGATTGGACGCCCCTTGAGGGTTAGGGACCTTAGATTGGACTCCCCTTGAGGGTCAAGGACCTTACATTGTACGCTCTTGGGGGTTAGGGACCTTAGATTTGACGCCCCTTGAGGGTTAGGGACCTTAGATTGGACGCCCCTTGAGGGTTAGAGACCTTAGATTAGACGCCCCTTGAGGGTTAGGGACCTTAGATTGGACGCCCCTTGAGGGTTAGGGACCTTAGATTGGACGCCCCTTGAGGGTCAGGGACCTTAGATTGGACGCCCCTTGAGGGTCAGGGACCTTAGATTGGACGCCCCTTGAGGGTCAGGGACCTTAGATTGGATGCCCCTTGAGGGTCAGGGACCTTAGATTGGACGCCCCTTGAGGGTCAGGGACCTTAGATTGGACGCCCCTTGAGGGTCAGGGACCTTAGATTGGACGCCCCTTGAGGGTTAGGGACCTTAGATTGGACGCCCCTTGAGGGTTAGGGACCTTAGATTGTACACCCCTTGAGGGTTAGGGACCTTAGATTGGACGCCCCCTAAGGGTTAGGGACCTTAGATTGGACACCCCTTGAGGGTTAGGGACCTTAGATTCTACGCTCCTCGGGGGCGGGGACTGATATGACTGTACAATATATATGTAAAGTTCTGCGTAAATTGACAGCGCTGTATAAGTACCTGTAATAAATAAATATACAATATTGAAACAATTGGATAATTCGGATTCAGACCCCCCCCCCCCATGCATATGTAATATAAGGTCTCATGGGATGGCGACAGTTCTGGACCCCCTCCCCACATTCAGCAGAGAACTCTTTCTGTACACGGAACTAGCACACAGACACGGTTAGTACATGCAGAAGAGCCACGATATGGACATTAGCGTACGCAGCACAGAGAAGCCCCCCCGGAGCCATACTTACATTCCCACCACCAGGAACATGCTTAATATTGTCCTTTGAGCCACACTTGGACTGAACATGGCTGTAGTTGGCTTTTTTGGAGACAATCTGGACCTGGAGCGTGACAGGATGGAGAAAACGACAACAGAAGTGGAAAGGTACGGTTAGAAAAATCACATGACGCAGAACAGGAGAGGACAGTGTTATCAGGATGACGGGAAAAGGGTGACATGAAGCAGACGAGAACGGAGAAGCAGACGCTGCAGAGACATTTTTTTTTTTTTCCGGTGTCGACACGTACAAGTCATTACCGTGAGCCACCACCACCACCACACCAAGCCTGCTCATCACACACGGGAGCTCAGCATTCAGCAACGTAGACAGAGAAAAGCTACAACCACCCCACGAGAACTCACAAAAAAGTGTATGATTTGTCCTTCAAGTCACAACAGAGGGACGTTTGGTTGGTTTTCTACCCGACTACTCAGAATACAGGACTGCAAGGACATGGGAGCCACCATGAGAAATTGGATCGCTCAACAAAAAAAGTGCTGGTTACCATTTGCAATTTACAGTAAATACTTCATCTGCCTGGACACTCCAATTCACTAGGCCCATAGCTGGATATCTGCAGTGTGAGATCATCTAAGGCACTGCTGACCGGCCGCTAGTCTCACCAGATTTTGCAATTTCACTATTGTGCTGCTCAATGTACTCCTGGCCGGAGAGGAAGCTGTAGCTGAAGACCTGGATTTCCAAGGTTCTCCCTACTTCATTTGCCATTTACAAACTCAAAAATGTGATGATCAATATTCTAGTGAGCATCAAGACATGTATGTTGTGCCCAAGAAGTGTCCTGAGAAATGCTTTCTTTGCCTAGGCCAGGGGTAGGCAACCTGCGGCTCTCCAGCTGTTGCAGGACTACAAGTTCCATCGTGCCTCTGCAAGTCATAGCTGTAATTGTCAGTTTTGTAATGTTGCAATGCCTCATGGGAAATGTAGTTCCACAACCGCTGGAGAGCCGCAGGTTGCCTACCCCTGGCCTAGGCATTCCCATTCTGCAAGTTCATAGCCGTATATCTGCAGTGTGAGATTATCTAATGTAGTGCTGACACTGCTGGTCCCGTCAGATTTTGCAAATGTCACTACTGTGCTGTGCACTGTTCTCCTCGCTGGAGGGGAAGCTGTATCCAAGGACATGCACTTCAAGGATCTCCCCACTTCATTCGGCCCGGATCGGCTGGTCTCGGCGCCGGGGGAGGAGCCCAGTCCGGATCAGCTGGTCTCGGCGCCGGGGGAGGAGCCCAGTCCGGATCGGCTGGTCTCGGCGCCGGGGGAGGAGCCCAGTCCGGATCGGCTGGTCTCGGCGCCGGGGGAGGACCCCAGCCCGGACCGGCTGGTCTCGGCCCCGGGGGAGGACCCCAGCCCGGACCGGCTGGTCTCGGCCCCGGGGGAGGACCCCAGCCCGGACCGGCTGGTCTCGGCCCCGGGGGAGGACCCCAGCCCGGACCGGCTGGTCTCGGCCCCGGG